ATTAGCTGCCTTTGTAAGTCTTTGATGTTTCTAAGACCACTTTTGTTTTCTCCATAGGAGATGCCTCATAAATTTGTGATAGCCATACTGATGGAATATATTCGTTCTCTTAACCAGTTTCAGATTCCAGTACAGGTAACTTCTCATCAGCATGGGTGGTCCCAAGTCAGAGGAGCAGGGAATATATTTCTAAAAGTGACAGCACTGTCAATGACTAAAAGGACTATGTTTTTCATATGCTAAAAGGTGCTGCCCGCTTGACTCAGAATTCTGACGCCTTCCTGACATGACAGTGTTGTCCTTAGATAAAATGAGTGCTATCACATCAAGTTAGGTTCTTTCACCTGCACACTGAACTCCTCTTAACAATGGAAACTTGGACTCATCAGTTAGAATAGCTGCAGTCCTCGGCACACCTAGCCCCCCGTCCATGTAGGTGCGTGATTTGAAAACGCCTTCCCTTATTTATCCTCAGCACTACGTCCATGAGCTTGTCATCAAGACGCTTGTCCAGCACAACCTCTTTTATATGCTGCATCAGTTCCTGCAGTATCACGTCCTCAGTGACTCAAAGCCTCTGGTCGGTATCACCACGTTTACTTTTGTGATTAGAAACTTCAAGTTTAACCTTCTGACATCTGATGCTGAAGAGTGTGAAAATTTCTCTTTCAGGCTTGTCTGCTGTTATCCCTAGAAAGTTTTTATCCTCCTGCCCATCAGCTGTCTCTAGATATGTTGAAGGTAACTGACACATCAGAGTTTTAAGCTGCCTAAGAGTCTGTGCCTGTTGCTTGCATTTATCTGAACTTTTCTCTTTCTAGCGACTTTCAACAGCAAATGATGAAATAGTAGAAGTTCTTCTTTCCAAACACCAAGTGTTGGCTGCCTTACGGTTTATCCGGGGCATTGGTGGCCATGACAACATTTCTGCACGGAAATTTTTAGATGCTGCGAAGCAGACCGAAGACAACATGCTTTTCTATACTATCTTCCGGTTTTTTGAACAGCGAAACCAGCGTTTGCGAGGGAACCCTAATTTCACACCAGGTGAGAATACGGCAGTGGTGAAAAGGCAACCATAGACTCAGTAGTAGCAAGAGAATGCTGGCAGCTGGAGGGTGAGAAGCCTTTTGGTAGGAATTCCTGAGTTAGGCTTGTAAAGACAAAATGTCACAACAGCCGACCTGACCCATAGCCCATTATTTGTAGTACAAGTGAATTCAGTATGCTCATGGATCTGAGTTATGCTCTAATTTGAGGTATGTTTTGGGTTGAGAACATTCAGGGCCCAATTCAGGCAGCCTGAACACAGTGCATATGCCTGACAGCTGTTCTTGGAATGTCCCTTTATGAAGAATCAGGGCAGGAACTGGTGGGCAAGGGTTTTAAATGGCCTGAGGCTTATTTATGTTTAGTTTTCGGCAGCAAACACTGGCAAATCATTCTTATCTCCGAAGTTATAAAACCTAAGGCATCCACTTCCTTAGAATGGGGAAGTAACATACTGGGTTGTTGGAAAAGTCATGACGCATTTTTGCAATGAAAAACAGACTTTTCTGACAACCTAATATAACTTTATTTCGGGTCTACCAATTTTTTTCTAGCTTAGTGTACAACGTAAGATGGCATTTAGTACCATGACAGGTTAGCTTCTCTTATCAACTTGTCTCTCAGAGCAGATGGTGACTTGCTAGGGCTTGTAAAGGTCCCTGACCAGTTTTGCAATGGCATCAGCTGTGTACATAGAAAGGACAACTCAAAAGCTTAGGAAAACAAAGTATTTTATGAAAGAAAAATAAGTTAAAACCTAGTATACACATCAATGAGCTGCACTGTTCATTCTTGTTTTCCTCTCTTTGTTACACATCTAATGGATTAAATCTATTTCCCTTTATAGGAGAACACTGTGAAGAACATGTTGCTTTTTTCAAACAGGTTTTTGGAGACGAAGCTCTAATGAGGCCTCCAACGTTCTGAAATCACTCGCTAGTTTTTTTATATATAAAAATGTGTACAAAGTTAATTTATTGCATTAATAAAGCTCTTTAAACTACAAAATGTTATAAAGTAGATCTGCAACATCCTCATCAAATGTTACTGAAAATATGGTATAGACCCTGTGTAGATGGCTTACTCCTAAAAAACAGGAGAAACACTGCATTGATTGGCCTTGAACAAGTGTCAATGAGCAGATCACATTCACAGCCATCCTAGTGTCAGCCTTCCGCTTGCTGAAGAATTAGGTTTCATTCCTTGAGAACTGGAAGACGCTTTAGAGTCCTGGAGTTGCCTTCAGATTTTGTAATGCTGCTTTACAAGTCAGATTTGCGTTCCTGAGTTTAAAAGCACTGTGGCCAAAGCTGCTGCTGTTAAATTGCCTCAAGTCTGGTAACATCTGGTGTTCATTCAACTTAGCCTTGATAGTGCAGCTACTGACCAGTGGTGAACTGACCAATCCGTAGACACAGTTCAAAGTCCCCAAACCCTGTAAGAGGGTCAGAAATTTAGTTGTTCTCTCTCTGTACCTTTGTATCGCTCTTGAGTGGCCAAACTTTTGGCTTTATTTATTGATGGTCCTGTGAGGGATAAAAAAATAACTTTTGTATTATTTCTTCAGGAGAAAAGGGGAGAGTTTGTACTGTAACAGAACTACCCTTTCTTTCCCCTGGAAATTGAAAAAAAAACACAAACCCAAAACTCCAAATCTATTTCAATGCTTCAACTTACAAATCAAGCAAATTAGTACTGTTCTCCTTTTAACCATGTCATTATGGAAGCTGAAGTGGCCAAAAAGATCATAAGGATAGTCTCAAAATAAGAGATGAGAGGCAGCATTTTGCTAGAACACTGAATCAGAAATAAAAGCTATTATTTTACAGCACTGCTGGGTTGTCATTCAAGGCCATTCATCTCAGCAGGAAGAAGCCCCCTGGGTCACATTCAGACTTATTTATGTCTTACTGCACAGCCTTGTTCAGCAGTTAAGTCAGGCCTCCAGAAAAAGGGTTGGAGTTTACTAATGAAGTGTTTTGGACACCCTGAAGGATTTTTTTCTCATAGAAATTAGTTTACTCAGTACTTATCAAATGACCATTTGTACAAGTTTAAATACTTCAAAAGAATGTTTCAATATCATATATAATTCTTTAGTAACGTGCTTCCTCCATCCCACTTGTTTAGAAATTAGAGCTCTTACCTATATAACTGAGTAAGACAGGGAGGAATATCAATCCATGAGTGGCTCCCAGTAAAACCATAGCTAAATACATCCTGAAATAAAATATCTGGAAAATTTGAGATTTGGCAAAGGCTAACACCACAATCCCTCCAAATTTTGTAAGTGTGATTCCACTGAATACCTAAAAGAAGAGAGATGATATTAGAAACCACTTGTATCAACCTATTAGAATTGGATACTTCCTAATACAGGGATTTCTTAACAGTCAAGGTCAAAAGTCACAGGGGACTTTTTTGATCCCCAGCTTTCAGAGTTACTGATAAGGAGCATTACATTCTACCTAAAATTGTTTTACTGTGGCTTATGAGCCTGAAACAAACAAAAAGGTATCATTAGGGTAAAAACTATGTATTCTGCATACACACTATTCTGTCTCTAAACTGAGATCATGTATTCTGAGATGAAAACTTTTAAATAACTAAATTGCTACAAAACAAAGTTTTAGTTGTTACTCTGTAATGGTATTTTCATTAGTACTAAAGTAATTGGTTGATAGGCTAACCCAGGATATAGAGTTGAATGAACCAAGGAAATTCTGGAGACATCAACTACAAAGTGCTCACAGGGCGCTGCAGGCAGCTTCCTCGCTTTTTCAACACGTGGCAGGCCTGTGTTTTAAACGGAAAAGGCTCTGGCTCTCAGATTCAGCCACTGCTCTCTCCCTGCTTTCACCATACTGCCACCTGCAACAGGATTCTCCAACAGGAACAGTTCTAAAGCATTTCAGGACATCGCTACTTCATGAGTTGCCCGAAAACTTGTCATTCTTAGGAGATACTGCTAAGTACAGGATCCAAATTCTGTTTTCCCTACTGGATTTTAAAGTTTCTTCTGAGAAAGGCTCGCTCACTGAGCTGGACACTGCATTGAAATTTCTGCCCAAGTCACTTACAGAACTGCCCATGTGAGAAAGCGCCTCTTCTGCCCGTTTCACGCGGCTTCCTTTGGCACTCACTGTGAACGCTCTTGTTATGTGGCTGCAGAACTCCACGGAAATGCCACAGCTCTGAAATAAAGAGCTTCCTTTAAAATTGGTCTTTTCTAGTTGGTAATCATAAGCAGCCATGCGTTTCCCAGGATCAGTGGTTACCAGGGCAGCCTGGGAGGTTTAGGCACCCTAAGAACCTCTGACATATACTGTAAAGCCCCTATCACACCAACTTCAATGCACCAGGAAATTGGACAACCCTCTAGGCACAACGCCCAATTCTCCAGTTCATACAGCAGATTTGCCTTCCTCCCGGGAAGCTGCTGAAACCTCTTAAGGTAATTTCCTCCCAGCCTCCACTGAGCCAGGACGCTGCCCTTACACGTCCAGTCAGGCCTCACTGCCACACCACCGGAGGCAGTGTTCATGTTCACATCTGAAGTACAGATGCACTGTCTCTATTTTCCATCAATACCTTCTCAAATGCTCACATCTTCATGACTTAACTATTAAAAAGCACCCGGCAATTGCATGGGAAGCAAAAGGTACTGGATAGAGAATTCCATCAGGAATGCGGCAACTTTTCTAAAGAAAAAGTGACCATCTTGCCATCATTAGGCTAAATGTTTCTGCAAACCCTTCAGAATAATAAAGGCAGAATACCTGAGTTAGACCATGAAATCACATTTGCATTGTTACGTGTACCATCCAGTCCCAACTCCATCTAGCCTTCAGTCCCACCGCTCCATGTGGATAAAGAGCAGGAGCTGGACTTGGTCTTTCACCCCGACGAACAATTCACATAAGTGACACAGAAGTTAGGGACAAACATGAGTGGACCAGGACTCACCATAACCAAGTTGACCAAGGAAACCGCGTTCAGACTGATGCCCCACAGCCACATGACGCCGAACATGTTGACCAAGATCATGGCAATTGTGACACACATGATCACTGCGGACCATGGCTCACAGCCCAGGAGAACCATGGTCACCAAAAAGATGGCGCCCAGGGACACGCAGAGGTTAAAGATTGTGTCATCAATGATGGTCAGGTACTGTTCGTAGAAGACATAGAACACACTAGAGACAGGAAAAGTTTTCGTCAAGGTTCATTCTCACTTCTGGAAGCTCTACTTTTCATCCTGCCACTACTGCAAAACTGTGCAAGTAGTTCTAGAGACATACCTTGCAGAAAACCTTCCTGTTTTTCGCAAGACGCGTCTGCAGTAATTCAACCGGATCTTTGATTTACTGCTCACACCCAAATAAGAGCCTCATGATCCAAAATGTCTATTTTATAAAAAGTTTTTGCTCATAATCCTAAAGTATTCTACTTTACAGGCATTCACAAAGACTATTCCATGGTATTTTGAAAAAACAAGTCCTGATCTATCCTGAGAATTACCTCAGGCCAAATGGGGTCTGTGCGGGGCCTGAGGAGATTTTTTTTTTTTTTTTTGCAAAGTTAACCAGCTCTTCCCAGGGATTAGGACACCCATTCTGAGAACTTCTTCCACAGAAAAACAGGTTATCCCCTACCAGGAACAGGTCAGGACTCCTTTAAGCAAGATAATAGGGGTGAGGGGAAAAAAAACAATATTTCTTCTAGTTTTCTATATTTTCCAAATTCAGAATATATATTTTTTTTATAAGGAAAAAGCCCAATAAGCAAAAAAGAAAAAGCTCTATAAAGGCACTGTCTCAAGTAATCAACAGTCAGGGAAACCATCAGTTCCTGTCCAGGAACATCCACTCGGCCTCATGTCCTGAAACCAGGTCTCCAGGCAACACCCCTTTCCTGCCCCCGGGTGCTGTTTTGCAGTGGGTCTCTCAGAATGTGAGCTCCAGCCCATAGACCAAGTTCTGCGTCTCTAGCACTCAGACCTCGGTAGGTGCTCCAGAGTCTGGCCCTCCTCACCCAGGTGCCATCTCCCTGGACGTACTTGGCCTGTGCTCACGATGGAGGAGGTGTCAGAATGAAAGCGAAGCATCAGCTTCCCACCAAGGGAGTCCCAGAGTGTGGGCCCTTCCCTAGGACACCCTTATTTGTACAATACACACTTACCTGTATGGGAACACACGGTAATTCCTTCCTTCCTGGCTCATGGTTTCGGTGATGTTCTCAGCGATGAGGCGGGCTTTTTTCATGGCGTCAATAAAGTCAGCAGAGGTCTGAAGCACAGTGTGGTAGGTCATGAAGTATGTGGCTCCGACACCCGTGTCATTGTCAAGGATATTAACTGCGGACCCGTAAGCAGCATGTCCCCTAAGAGAAGACTCAGTGGTGTCAGAGAGACCACGCCTTGCAAAACCTTGCAGAATGCGAGCACTCAAGGCTAAGTGAAGTCATCTGACCCTGGGCTCAGAGGTCAGACCCAGTAGTAAATTGCAGAGATAGGGAAGGCCCTCTGAAAGGGAGCGATGGTTGTTTAGCTTATTGTCTCCTACACTGGCTTTTCTTTACTGCTTTTGGTTTCTTTGGTGCATAGCTGCTGTTGTTTCTACATTCAGCTCTGCTCACAATCCAGTGTGTCTTCATACCGAGTTTGCTCAGCAATGTTTTGTAACAGGAGGTGGGGAAGGGCAAGGCCCTGGAGTGAGACAGAGGTGAGATGGACCGCAGCCCTGCCATGTGTTGGCCATGGAACCCTGGGCAAAGTTACTGAATTTGGGCTGCATTGCCATCTTCAGCAAACGGGTGTGCCACCACCTACTCACACAGTAGCGTGATGCATGAGCGAGATAATGAGAGGTGCCTGGCATGATACTGGCACGTAGGAGGCTCCCTGGAAGTGGTGGCTATTGCCTTCATGAAAAGTTGAATTCACTTGGACTTGTTTTATGTAGGCCAAAGCATTCTGTCTGTAAGCAGAACAAGCTGTAAGATCCATTTCTATTTTATTTTTAGAGATAGTCTTCCTACAGTACCTAGTATAGGTCTCAAAACACAGACATGACATGTAGGACTAATATATGATGGGACTCTGGTCAAATTATGTATTCTTATGAAAAACAGGGATGTCCAGGGTTTACCTAATATACATGTGGACACTCATTTTCCTCCTACAAAACTTCCAAATTATCCCACCCCAGACTTCCAATAATCTTCACTAATTCTGGGCCAAATAGCCCGTGGCTGCCTCTGCCTGGCTGGCTGGGGGAGTGAGAAAGCCCACATCCTCATATATGGCCTGGCTGGCAAGAAGCACAGTGGGGCTAAAACAATGTAAATCGTAATCTAGGATGACATCACCAAAGCAGAGATGCTGTCCCACATGCCCACGGATACAACAAGCCATTTCACATTCTGAAACGCCATGTGTTCCTCCTCTTCCGCTGTCCCGCCAGTAACCTGCACAGGACTCTGCATCCATTCAAACAGCTGGGAGGGCCAGGACACACGGAGAAGCACAAGGCCAGGATGGAATCAGTTGAAAATAATGAGACGTTTTCTTTAAAGGTGTCTTAGAGGTTTCTTCACTTTCACAAAAGGATCAAGACAGGGTGGGTAGGGGGTTATAGATGAGTACCTTTCCCACACAACTGTTTCTACACCCCAACTCTCTCCTAGGTTTCCAGTGCAGAGGAAAGGGAAAGTGGGCGTGCGTCTGAAGGGCTCAGCAGCACTTACCCTTTGCCACACTTGGGATTCGGGTTATCAGAAAGGAACATGGGCAGGAATCTCATGAAGTCTTCACCCTGAGGCCTCTGTTTGCCCTCTGGGGTCAGAGGCCTGCAGCGGACGCAGGCAGGGTCAGCCACTACCGGAAACATGGGGGAAGGAGCCAAGGTGAGAAGAATGCATCTCCAGATCTTATTTTAAAACATTGAAAACTACTGATAAAGAAGTAAGAGGAATTCTTTTCTTGAATCTTTTTCCTTATCCAAAAGCTTCGAACACGTGATTTTCATAGTCTAATAAATCGAAGATAACATCTTCCCCTTAGGCAGGCTGTACAAATTTGCTTCCTCAACTCAGGTTTTCTGCTTTAAGGATGATCTTAGTGGGCATGATCAAAGCCCAGGGCTTTCATGTTTTTAATTGAGGAAAATCTAGGACAACCTCAACACTCTTACAAAATAATAGGGCAATGGTGATAAACAGAGGAAAACACCCCTATGAGACACTACGGCCAAATACCAATCAAAAGAGGCAGTGGTGTCAGGAACAACGCAACACTTTTCAGAGTGAATGACTACAGAAAGGGATAACAAAGGGAATGACACCCAGTGTTGGCATATAAATAGGTATAAACCGCCAAGATTTTTAAACTATAATGTTAAAGCTTTTCAGAAAAAGGAAAAATTTGGAAAAGGAGATGAAAGTACCTGAAGCATTGCAGAACAGATCAGTGCTATTGTAGACTCTGCAGCAAGAAGACTGTGGCTGAATCCAATCAAAATAATCGTCAATCCAGGATGAGGGAGCAAAGCCTATTCGGGTACTAGAGAAAAGGAGAGAAAAATGACCGACTCGTCCTGCAAGGAAGAAGTCTTTAGTTTCAGTCCTTTTCCTGGAAACCTAACTTCCTTTTTCTAGAGTTTATACTGCCACCCAGTCAAAAGACAAACTGCATTAGCACTGAATGGAAAAACCCTCAAAGTATGAGGTGGTAAATAAGTCCTTCAAAGATTTTACTCAGGTAAAGCTAGAATGAGCATACATTCTGAAAAAGAAATTTTCTGAGAAAATCTATGTTCAGTGAGAAATTCTAGGCTGAGCTGACTCTGGCCAAAAGCCCTCCAGGCTGTTCCCGCCCCAGTACAGGGAGGCCGGGGTACTGACTAGCTGGGCAGCTCAGCCGCGTTGAATATCTGCTGCACCAGGGAGTCGTTGTTGCAGCCCATGCCCCCGCACACCATGTCCTGCCCTTTCAGAGAGGTGTAGTTGTGCCCTTCCTCCAGGACAAAGTAGACAGGCGGGCCCGCATGTAGGTACTGACTGAGCGACTTGAAATAATCCATCACGTAGGAGTCCTGAAACAAAGATCCAACAACAGGACGAAGTGTGAATGTTCTGACGGTGCCCAAGCACCATGAGGATGACAACATTAGAGTGCACCAGGAGGCTCTGGCCAAGACGCCTCCAGCCCACATGCAGGATTTCCCATAGCCAGGTCCTCCTCCCCACCCTCCTGGGCCCAGGGTGCCCCCTGGGCTGGTCCCACTACTAGAAGGGCACCTCACAAGGTGAAGGGCTGGCTGCTCACACTCTGTGGCTATGCCCCAGGGAACTGGTAGAAAGTTCACAGTGCCAAGGCCCACATTCGCAGAGCTTTGTGGCAATTCTTATAACACGGGAGACCCCGTCAGCATTTGCACTGAGAAGCAGGTATTAACTTGAAACACCCACATGTATGTTTTGAAAAATGTATTTACCATTGGCTAAATAAGTTAATATAAAAAAAGGAAGCATCTTACATCTGGCATTGAAAGAGACTGATCCAATCCAATTTCTACTTTGTTCAGGACTGCGATACTGAATGATAGAACACCCACAAATACTGCTATCTGGAATGAGAAGTGAGTTATAAGACAGCGATTGCTTAGTTATAATGAGCTGAAGAACATAAATAAAATCTCAAACACAAAAATCAGGCCTTTTCTTAAACTGACAAGGAACACGCTAAGAAAACAGGGGTATGGGGTAGTGGCTCAGATCATAGTATTTAGCGTCAAACTACCTGGGTTTGAATCCTGGCGCCTCTACTTACAAGTTGAGTGACTCTGGGGAAGTCACTTACCTTCTCTTAGTTTCTATTTCCTCATCAATAAAATAGAAAAATAAGACTTATAACATCAGATAGTTTTGTGAATTAAATGAGAAAAGTCTAGGGATAATCTAGATTCTAGCATAGTACCCAATATTTAGTATAATAACTGATGTTAAGTGTTCAATAAATGTTATTGCTATTACTTCTTTTTTTTCCCCGGGCACCCCACAGGCACCCGAGGATTGCTATTACTTTTATTGTTAGAAATCAATATTTGTTCTTTTAGTAGAGAAGTGATAGATAATCACTATTGGCTACATCAGTATATACTACAAAAAGCTCTTGCACACTTGCTGAGGACTAGGGACAGTGGGTGGTGTAGGGGAAGGAGGTGAGTGACACTCTAAAGGGGCAGTGTGAGGGACACTGTTGTGGTGATGGATCTTGACTGCAGTGGCTACACAAATCTGCACATGTGATGAAATGACACAGAATTAGACACACACATTGTGCCAAGGTCAAGTTCCTGGTTTTGATACTGAACTACAATTATGTAAGACCATAGGAGGACACTGGGCGAAGAGTGCCTAAGTCCTCTCTGTACCACCTTTGCAACTTTCTATGAATCTATAGTTATTTCAAAATAAACACTTTAAAACTCTTGCTTATATTGACTGCTAAAATCTAGCTAGAAAAATATTTTCTATATTTGTACATTATTTGCTTTTATGTTTACGTGTGTGTGTGTGGGGACACATACATGTACGTACACACACACACACACACACACACACACACACACACACACACCCTAACAGCTGTCAGAATCTCCTCCCTAAGTCATCTGATTCTTAGAAGGCATGTGATGAATTTTTCAGGGAGAAAAACAAGAAAAAACACAGATAAGTTCATACCACAATTGGTCGCATCCAGTCCTTAAGCAGAAATGGAGAATAGGCGTTTTTGAAGAACCGAAACAAGCAGCTCTCCGAGGCCTGGAGGCCTGTTCCATCTTGGGCATGTCTGACACAGCAAAGGATGTCTAGCCGATTTTTCTGAGAGGAAAGAGTAACAAAGGTCATACCCTCTAGGTGCTTCAGCTAGACTCTAGACTCAAATGAAATAGACTGTAATCCTGATAAGAACTTACCTCTTGACGCTTAATGTCTAATCCTAAGAGACTCACAAAACAGGTCATCTGAAGAAGGAAGTCAATGAGGACCGCCATTCCCGCAAACAGAGAGAAAGTGTGAACGGCTGGCATCACTGACAATGCTCCTGCAGGGAGAAAAAAGCTGCCACATCACTTCCATTTACAGCAGAGGGCTCTTACGAGTCTCCCACTCATGTGTACATATGAATACAAGCAGCCAGAGCAAGCTAAACCCATGAGAAGCCCCCACCTCCCCTGAAAAAGGTGTGCTGCAAAGGTCTATGGATATCACTTTGGAACTGGAGAAGAGTCCGTAAGCCCAGTGGTTTTCAAAATGGTGTCAGCATCAGAGCAGAGCTACTTGGGGCATTAAAAATGTAGGTTCCTAGGCCCCGGTCCCATCCTATTTAATCAAGACAGTGGGAACTCAACCCCAATTCTCGTGTATTTAACAGGCTCTCTTGGCAAATGTGTGCACATTAAAATTTGGGAACGATTAATATATGCCATTTCTTACAGTACATTCTGTGCTTCACTCTAAGAGTGGGACAGTATTTTTCCATCTACTGTTATATCAATAATATCAGTCTCCTAGTTTAGTTATAAGCAAGTGAGGGTGCTCCAAGTGAAAAGCACTAGGCTAAGATGCAGAACCTGGAAACCGGCAGCCCACAGGCCAGGTGTATTCTGTCTGGCCCACACACTATCAATCCATTTTAAGATTCAAAAACATGTAAAAAAAATAAGGAGCCAATATTTAACAATGAGGTTTTACACAAAAATCTAGATTCACAGTGTTGCTTGAGAAAAAAAAAACCAGACCTAGGAGCACTGGGCCGGCGACACCTGACTACTCCTTTTAGACATGGCTTGCACACTCCAGGTGCCACCATCCCTGCCATTCCTACTGTCCTCCAAAGTCAGTCCAACCCGAGGCACAGTGTCAGCTGCTATTATCACACTGGCACCGGTTTTCTTACAATAGAGGTAAAAAGAAGAAATAACTTTTTTTGCACCTGTACCCATTAAAAGGAACTATAGGGGCCACAGGCTTTGAAGCTCATTGCTCTGTGGGAATGAAGAATATGCTAATGGTATGTCTGTGTCGAAAGGCCACCCCCTGTGATGTTCCTACAATGGCCCTGTGTAAGATGACCTGGTGGCCCGCGCAGGCACTTCTGTTCGTGACCCATGACTGTGTGTCTTCTCTGGACTTGCTGGGTGATTCTAACCAGGCCTCCCCTTCAGAGGATGTAGTCAGTTTTCTTACTACACGCCAGAGATGAGGGTACACAGTCCCGCTAGAAAGGCTGGTTGATTTCTCCATAGGAAAGAAACACCGAAGTGCTGGTTTTGTTCCACCTGACTCTGGCTCCTTGTATTGATATGAGATCCAAGAACCTCCGCTCATTAATGGGGGTGCTTCCCCAGTAAGCTGTATGCACAGAGGAAGACTGCCTATGAGAACGATGGCTAACATTTTGTAAGATGATGCCTGGATTTTGGAGTTGCTGCTTCCAGGGTTGTGTTGAGCATTCTGTGGCTATGCACGAATGCTATTTTCAAATGTCAACAATTGCCACAGGTGCCAAAAAGAGGAAATGGCAAAGGAGTCCTAGGTATCTGGACCCCCAACATCAACACTGTCTGGAAACGTGAGAAAGAAGACACTTGCTAAATGACACTGAAGCTACTGCCACCAATTTTTCTTGCAGTCCACTCTAATACTTTCTAATTACAGAATAAAGCTTAATAAAGGACGAACACGAAGGCGTATATTCAGATATCCAGGCTCTTTCTATTCCCAGGCTCAGCAAACTATAGGATTGGTAGAATTCAAAGAACAATTACCTAAGAAAAATGCTACCGTTTCTGAAAAGGATGACAGGAACATACTAGGAGCCACTTCTCCAAGGACCCTGCCCAGCTGCTGGTCCAGGGTTTCCCCTTGAAGACGTTCATCTCTCTTAAAAATAAAAAAGTTAAACACACGACATTAAAATTTCTCAGTAACAATGCCAACTCTTTGCTCAATAGTCATGTAAAATGATAAGTGGCATCTACTTATTGGATATTAACCTTGGACCTGCAACTTGTCATGTTCATTCATTCCGTGTATTTCTGATCTCTGAGCTAGGTAACAGGTGAGAGGCTCAAGGAAAGACTGGACCACATGATCCAGAAAACATATGGAATGTAGGCTGCACGTGGCTGGACCATTAAATGACATGCCATTTACATGCCACTGAGTCTCCACGCAAGTAAGGGCTACAGCACAGGGGGCCATGTGAGAACCAACTGATGGAGACCACTTTCTACCTCAGCAAGTGCTGCGTTGACTGTCTTTTCAGTGGCACCTTTGATAAATCTTTCAGTCTTCTCCACTATGTGGAGAATCATTTTAATAGCAGTCGTACCCAAAATATTTTCCACAAGTGTGCTCGCCCTTTCTGCACATATGTAGCAAATATGTAAAACCAAATCCTCGCTTTATATCTATGTCACCAACCAAAGAGAAGGTGAAATTCTTGGTCTCAAAATTTCCAGAACAAGTGACGGATACCAATAAGCAACACACGAGGAAGAAAACGAAGTGTCCCCATTGTCACACTCACAAATACTCTGCATGGAGCCAAACAGCCATTAATGGAGCTCAGTACCTGGTCAGCTGCCAAGCTCTGTGAGAGCATGAAAATGTACCTGGTAGGTCTGGACCAGAATGAAGATGTTGTCCACCCCGACAGCCAGCACCAGGAACGGGATCACTTCAATCACAATGAGAGTGAGGGGGACCCCAACGTAACTGAAGATGCCCAGCGAGCACGCCACTGAGCTCAACACGATGAGGATACCCGCAATGCCCAGGGAGATTTTAGAATCCACCTGGGAGATGCAACAGAGACACAGTAGCTGGTTAGAGGGTTTTCTGTTCTGTTACTGAAAGGTCCTCCTTTCTACCTCTCTACCTGGGGATAGCCCATCTGCAGTTACAAGTAAAATTCCCCATTTGAAAGAAGATAGGAAAACTCTCTAGGTCTTCCCTAGCAATATTTTCTCTGAGCTTCCATTCTTAGGTCATGAGGTGAACAAATCAGAAAAAAACTGGAGTATGTGAAATAAATCTAAGTTGAAGATAAACCAAAAAGTTGGGACAGATGCAGGGAATAGAAAATGATACATTGCAACTAAAACACAGGGGAACTTAAGACAGTTTTGAACACAATGAGTTAAGGTTAAGTAGAGGAAAAATATGACATCATGTTGTACATTGCCATTTCTAACACACACACACACACACACACACACTCTATACACATACACACTCCACACACATACACACACACATATACATACACACACACACTCTATACACATACACACTCCACACACATACACACACACATATACATACACACACTCACTCTATACACATACACACTCCACACACATACACACACACATATACATACACACACTCACTCTATACACATACACACTCCACACACATANACACACACACACACACACACACACACTTACCAGAAGTCTGCTACAGCTTTTGATGTGCCCCAAGGCTATGGAAATATACAGAAACATGACGGCATAGCTGATTATAACAGTGAAGATATCACTGTTACTTTCACGATTCAGTTCATCTTCAATACTCCGTTCAGCAGAGAAAGAAATGGTCAGATTTGGATTCTTGTAGTTTTTCACAAAATTAATAAACCTAAAAACAAAATTTTTATATTTTTAGTTAAAACTTAATGACAGCTAAGTGAGAAACTTCTTCCCAACTTCTATGACACAAAAGCCATGCTCCTTAGCCTTTCTCCTGCATAAGATCTTCTGCACTGGAGACTAGGGGGTGAGGCTGTTCCAGATTATGCTGAGTTTTCTACTATTTAAATAGGTTTGCAATATGTTTTAAAAAATTGGTTCATGGGCTCACTCTTGTTTACTAAAAGTATTTCTAAATGAAGTACTATCTATTATAATAAAGCTATATGCTCATGGAATAAAATTTAAAAAGCTGACCTACAGATTCAGTGGAACCCCTATCAGACTCCCAGCTGACTTCCTTGTACAAATATGATTCTAAAAGTCACATGGAATTGCAAGGGGCCTAGAATAATCAAAACCTTCTTTTTTAAGAAGAACAAAGTTGAGGATCTACACGTCCTGACCGCAAACTTACCATAAAACAACACTAATTAAGACAGTGTGGTACTGGCAAATATAGATCAAAGGAATGGACTCAGGGTCCAGAAATTAATCATGTGTCTGCAGTCACCTCATTTTCAACAAGGGTGGCAAGGCTATCAAATGGGGAAAAGAATAGTCTTTTCAACAAATGGTCTGGGACAACTGGACAGCCACATGCAAAAGAATATTGGACACCTCACACCATATACAAAATGAACTCAAATGGATCAAAGACCTAAATATAAGAGCTAAAACAATAAAACTCTCAGAAAAACATAAGTGTAAATCTCCATGTCCTTGGATTAGGCAATGGTTTCTATGATATCAAAAGTATGAACAACAAAAGAAAATAAATTAGACTTCATCAAAATTAAAAACTTTTATGTTTCAGAGGACAACATCAAGAAAGCAAAAAAAAAGTGGGAGAAAAATACTTGGGAATCATATATCTATCTGATGAGGGACTTACAGAATATGTAAGAATTCTTTTTTTTTTTTAAGCTGAGCCATCCTGCCACCTGTTGGCAGCTTAGCAGCAGCTCAGTCCAGGCTTAGTATCGAACCGCTGTTGCTCAGAGCTTGTGCTCTTGAGTGAGCTCTTAACTAACTGAGCCACTCGGCTGGCCCTAAGAATTCTTATACTTCAATAATAAAAATACAAATAACCCAGTTAAAAAATGAGTAAAGCATATGAATAAACATTTCTCTAAGAAAGTTATACAAATGGCCAATAAGCACATGAAGAGATGTGCCAAATCATTAGTCATCAAGGAAATGCAAATCAAAACTGCAATGAGATACCACTTCACACACGCAAGGATAACCAGAATCAAAAAGTCAGATAATAACAAGTGCTGGTGAGGATGTGGAGAATTTGAAACCTTCATACACTGCTGGTGGGAATGTAAAATGGTGCTGTCACTTTGGAAAACAATCTGGCATTTCCTCAAAGAGTTACCATATGACCAGGCATTCTAATCCTAGGAATATATACCCAAGAGAAATGAAAACATAAGTTCACACAAAAGCTTGTATACAAATGCCTATAGCAACATTATTCATAATAGTCAAAAGGTAGAAACAACCCAAATGAGCATCAACTGACAGATAAACAAAATGTGGTATATCAACAGGCGAGAACATTACTCAGCCATAAAAACGAATCAAGGACTAACACATGCTACAACTTGGGTGTACCTTGAAAACATTATGCTAAGTGAAAGATGCCAGACACAAAAGTCCACATATATCATTCCATTCGTATAAAAAAAAACGTCCAGAACAGGAAAATGTATGGAAACAAAGTTCTAAAATTGGCTGCGGTAATGGGTGCATAGATCTGTGAATATACTAAAAGCTACTAAATTGTACCCTTTAAAGACGTGAAATGTATGGCATATGAATTATATATCTCAATAAAGCTGGTATTTTTTAATGTACTAAAAGTACATTATAAAGTAAAAAGTCAAAGTCCCCTGTCCTCATTCCTCTCCCCATTCTCTAGAGGTTGCAAACACAATTAATAATTTCCTGGATCATTTGCTTGATAGTTTTTCTAGGATGCACAGCATATATTTACCTTAACATGCTAACTGCATTTTTTATTTAATACATCTTGAATCATGTATTTACCTATCTGAATGACCGTAATTTTCCATTGTACTTATCACTTACTAATGTACGTTCAGCTGGCTCCTGGTTTTTGATGTTAGAAAAGGACGCAGGGAACATTTCTACATACATACTTTTGCATTCTTGTGCAGGGATATCTGTTCAACGTTTTTGGTAAATTTATTTACAGATCTTTTTTTTTTTCTTAGCATCACTAGTACCACCTGAAAAAGCCGTGACTTTGGTCTGATGTTGGGTCATTTAACCGAATGAAGTTGAAACGCTCTCTGTCAGCATCCAGCTTCCCACAAGACAAGGGCAGGTTGTTTAGACCCCAGGAGCAACTCACTCTCTTTCCCAGGCCTGGGCCCTCTGGAGCTTCTCTGTATCATTATAGTAATTGTTGACCGGAAAGGTAATCACAAGGGCTGTGGCGTTATTGTAGTTTTGATCTAGAAAGGAAAAATGTGACATCAAAAAGTCTATAAGCATGCAGGAAATGAGACAAATACAAGGGGACAATCACAGGACAGCCAGATGGCTGATTCCTCACTGGGGCTGTAGACGATATATCCCTGCATTCTAAGAACAAAAAAAGTTCACTTAAATAGTGTCTATGTCATTCAGGTAATGAATAAAAAGGATTCTCTATCTGAAGCTGGCACACATCATTCAGGAAGAGTATTGTTTTGTTTTTTTTTAATTACAAAGCATGTGCATGATAAAAATTTCAGAGCAAAAAGGTGGTCAGTGAAAACTCTGTTCTTCCTCAGTCCCCTTTCTACTTAGTTCTCCTTTCCATCTTGTGACCGCCATGACTTTCCAGAGACACTCCACACATACACAAGCAAACACATATCCTCTTCCCCTCTCCTTCTTACTTACACAAATAGTAATGTACTATTCTGCACATTACGCTTTT